GGGAAAAGCGCCCTCCTCCCCCGGCCCCCTGGTCCCTTCCCCCCCCCGCGCCTCCCTTTCATCGCCTTCAGCCTTTCGGCTCCTGCCCAGAGCTAACAGCGGGGGTCTGTAGCGGGTGTAAGGCACACCAAATTGTCCCGGCCTCCCTGGGCCGCTGCCCAGGGACCAGGCGGACGTGCGACTGGGAGGAGGGGGCCCGCTCCGCTTCAGTGCCCAGACCCCGGCGCGTTGGCGCTTGGCCCACGTCTCGGCGGCGAGGACCGTCAGTAACCATGGCAATGAGAGTTTTCCAGCCGCCCCGGTGTCAAATTTATGGTGGGGGAGAGAAGCGTTCCCAAATGCGATCACTGCGATGAGGGTGTTAGGAAAGGGGCAGTCTACCTTCGGGGGAGAGCCTACCCTTCTCTCCGAAGGGCCTCAGCATCCCCCATTTCTCCCTTGCAGCCGGGCGTTGGAGGTCCGGAGGTCCGTCTGGCTTCCCGTAGGATGGAAGCACACCTGGGGGTGTATGCATGGGGGGCACGCGTGCAGGCTGGGGAAGGCCATGCAAACCCAGCCCCAGCTAAGCAGAGCTGGGGTGACAGCAGTTGGCCGTGTTAATGATTACCTGCCACGCGCCCGCCTCCGCAAGTCTGAACAAGGAAACTGTCCCGTCCCCTCCCCGCGCAGCTGTGTGCCCGTGCTGGCGCTGCCGCACCGTGCAGTAACAGTGCCCCAAGGACCAGCCTTCGACTGGAGATGGAAAATGCGGAGCTGACGTGCCATGAATTATCTCGTGACGTTTTTAGAGGTAAAAAGCTCAAGTTAAGCAATTGCAGGGAAACACACCTGGGTTGGTCACGCTCCCTCTTTTCCCTTCTTCCCTCGGTATGAGGCCCCTTTCTGCAAACACAGCCTTCTGCTGCTTGTTCGAGCTGGGGAAGGAGCTGTTGCCCCCCCTGCATCCCTCAGAAAGGGTCCGAAGGGACCAAGCACAGCCGCTGCTGGGAGTGATGTGCACCAGCGCATCTCTGCTCTCCCACGAGGCCAGCACCTGCCTTCCAGTCCCCAGCCCGAGGAGGCAACAGGACGGGAATGGGAACGGCTGGAATTGGAGGAAGGAGTGAAAATTTGCACAGGGCTTTGCTGTACCTTGGGCTGCTCTGCCCTGGGGACCCCGGTGGGGTCTCTGGCTCCCGAACAGAGGTGGCTGAAGCAAAGCAGCAGCATTTGCCCCACACCCAGCTCTTTCACAGCTCCACCAGGTCCTGGTTTG